TAGAAGTCTTAAGTAAATTACAGACTTTCGTGAACTATATATTTATTTCGCCATATCCAACTATGCCACTTGATCACTATAACCAAATCTTGGTTATTATAACTAAACCTTTTTCTGGGTGCAGCTGTGTTGAACGCAATGTGCACAGGAGCGTTAGCATATTCACACTAGTTGAACAGGGGCACTTACTAACTACTTTTAGGTGGAGTATCGTTAAAGTAATAAAGGGCTGAGTAACTATACAAAACACTACATTCTTAACTTAACTAACAACGTAGAAACTATCCCCTTTCATAAATTTTCAGGAACTGCAAATTTGCGCAAAATAAGTAACTTCCTTTAAGGTTCGCAATTTTTGAGCTCGTAATTGCCAAATTGCCTGAAGTGCGTCTAAAATACAATATGTGTAGACTCCATACATACCTACACCGTTGTTCGAAAATAACCAAAAATTACACACTAAATGTTGGTAAGCCTTTCGCATTCACTGCGAAAAAGTGTTGCGCCGAAACTTACTAAACCTATTATCAAGTCAAACTTTCTTTCCAGCGAACAATAATCAAAAATTTCTCCCAGCACAGCTATTAACACTCATATTGTGCATGTATGTAGGTACATATTGTGTGCCGAATGCAAATTTTCCAAATTGCCCAGTTGACCTATGTTATCTACGTACTTGCGTTCACCAAAAAACACGTTCCCTTAATACTTCACGCTCAAAGTTGACTCCTCCCTTAGGGCTGCATATGACCTCCTATTTTAGTAAATAAAACACTTGCCAACAGAGAAGCACCCTTAAGGGTCGCCCAAAATTGCTTATGGTACTACGTGCACTAGGGTGGACCAAAAATACTCAACTAAAGAGTATCTAAAAGAAGGAGACCCTGAGTTTTACAAGTTTGTATTAAGTTTCGCCTGTTGCAATCAGTTTTTCACTAACTCCCCGAAGAGCTAGAGGCTTGAAACTTCAAACTTAGCTCAAAATTTATCCTCTAGGTGGCGCAAGAGTCGCGATATTTGTAAAACCCGCATTTACGTTCAGATTTCTTTCACATTTAGAACGTTTATTGCTTAAAGGGGAAGAAATAACTCGACGAAAAATTTTGCAGTTAGATAGTGCGGGGTCATTTTTTTATTTTTTTACTAAGCACTCATAAATTACTTTATTTTAAAATCGGTTAACATTTAACCGCCCGTCGGGGCTTTGAAGTTTCGATGTATTTTGTATGGAAAAACTACATTTTTTTTGTAAAATTGTTATAAAATCGTAAAAAATAAATATTTTTTGAACGAATAAAAATATTTCACTTTAGAAATCTTAAAATAATAAACCTGTTATGTATATTTAACTTAAACATTTTATTAACTACTATTTCATAATCGACAATCTCATCTCTTGCATAAAAAAAATGTAACTTTAACCGACTTCAAAAAAGGAACATATATTTTTTGTTATGTACATATTTTACCACATAACTTTGGACCACGTTAACCGATTTCTATAGTCCTTCTTTTAAAGGCAAGGTGTTACCTCAGAGTTGGTCCCATACTAATTTGGTTTCAATCCGATCATAAAGATAATCTTAAATTTTTATATTGGAATTGAAGTCGGTTTGGTTTTTTGCTTAAAAATTACTTGTATGTGTTCGTTACCATACCAGGTACGTTTTAAAAATAGTTAGTAAAATTTTAGAGCTAAGTTTGCATCATAATTCTACTGTTCGAAGATTTATGAAGGGAAATGTTTTTGATTTGATCAAAAAATATTTATTTCTAGCGATTTTATAACAATTCTGCCAAAAACATTATTTTCTTATTAATGTATGTAGGTTAGGTTAGGTTATTCTAGCTGGCTGGCCACCCCAGATGGAGATAGAGGTTTAGTTAAGTATATTCAAAGTGTTCATTTAAGATTTGTACGCTTTTTGAGCATTTCAGTAATGGTTGAAACCCCCAAGTATTGTCACGTCTTCAAGATTATAAAATATCTTGGAAGTTTCAGTCGTACTTTTAATATAGCAGGATAAAGGCTTAGGAGGTTCTCTAAGGTCTCTTTTGTTCCCGTCCCCATGCATTTCCTGCAAGCTTCATTGACAGCCATTTGGCTTCCTTGCGCTGCCAACATGTTGTGTCCTGTTAGGCCACTTATCATAGTTCTGCAGTCTCTTCGTGGCAGCGATAGTATAAACCGGTTTTGTATCCCGTTTTCTAATCTACACATGATTTTAGAGATTTTATAGGTTTTCTACTTAGTTATAAAATTTCTTAGAGCTTCGGAATGTTGTTCTTTTGTTTTAGATCTAAGTGAATTCCTCTTAGCAATCTCATTTAAATTTCATTAACCCAATAAATATCCAGTCGGTTTTTGGCTGCTACTCTATTTATGATCTCCCTGCTTCCAACGGCGTTTTGTGACGTAAGTTGGTATGAGCTAATAGCCTTACAGCTAAATTCATAAAAAATAAAGAAGACTTTAACTGCTTTATAAATTGAAAACTTGTATGAAAATGTCACTTTATAGAGCTCTTTAAACCAATCTTATTTTTTATGAATAATTAATAAAGAATTAATCTCCGCTTGACTATTTACGTATATGTTAACTTTAGAGTTATTTCCAGTCTTTGAGTAGAGGAGCTCAGTGGCTTTTCTCATTTCGAAAACCTCTGCCTGATCCGGCTGCTTAATGGGCTGACAAACATTAAATTCTGAGCAGTACATCTCCCGTTGCTTCGTCACCTTTCATTTTTGAGCCATCTGTAAAGAAATTGTACCTCTTGTGGCTGGTTTCATGCCTCTTCACAATCAGTTTTCTGCAATAGGAGTCCGAAACTCCCTACCCCATCTATAGCAAGATGCCATGTAATTTGTTGTAGCTACATGTCCTTTGGCTATTGAGCTGTCACCTCAGTTTCCCCGCGAACTTAGGCGCGCAGCAGGCACTAGGGCAGGGGATAGGCTCCAAGTCATTCCCAGCATATTTTTGCATACCTAGAGGGCATTATTCGCTTTTCTCACTCTATTTTCCACAGCACACGGGACAGTCTTACAGTCCAGGAATACCCGAGGTAATTGGTGCAGTCTTTTGATTTAAGTTCGGCGCGGTTCAGTTTACCGAGTTTCCACGCAGGAATCTTATACTTTCTTTTAAAAAGTAACATAACAATTTTATCTGCATTTATCCCTAAACCTGCAACAGTCGTCCATTGGTATATAGTATTCAGGTCTCAATTCATTATATCACTTATGGTATCTAGGTACTTTCCTGCCACTATTACTGCAATATAATCAGCATACGCAACTAGTTTGGGTGCATTCCCTTCAAATTAAAAAAAAAAAAGTATATTTTACTGTATATTTTTGGGCCAACCTAATGTGCATATACCATTAACAAACTCATAACTACAGCATAATTACATGAGAAAATTCATCATACAAGTGTTCATACCATGGTTATTTAGGATACACATATATATATGTACAACATAGGCATGTAAGTGTACATACTATGAATATACATATGATCAACTCTGCTCCCACATTCGGGAACCACAAAATTCGGAAATTGCACAACTACTTACAGTGCAAAAAGCAGCATTGTGCTCATTTCCTCATATGCATATGCATAGATGGCAAACTTCCATGCATATTTGTAGTTCGTATATATGTATGTATGTATGTACATATGTATGTAAGTAATCTCCTTAGGGCGATTTAACATTTTTGGGACGCCCAAATAGCATAGCATTTATTACAATTAAATGAATGTTAGTTCCCATGTATGTAGATACATACTTACATATGTAAATGTACATGTACTCGTAAACTTATGCCTACAAACCAAATTATCAGTTCTATCTTTTAGAGGCTCTATGGAGTTTGCCACAGTTTTATGTGGTTTATTATCCACAGCGTACGCAAAGTAAATATTCGGTTGAAATGTTATTGCCTTAGGCTGAGCGAGTTATAATTTCGTCAATTTAATGGGCGTGCTGCGCAAAACTTTCAACCAAATTCCAACTGTTTCCCCTTTAAGGATTTAAATATGTAAATTTTAAAAGACGTATTATTCGGAAGTTTTGTGAATGTTAGTTTGCGATTATTTATCATTTTTGTACAAATTAGGTCAAAACTCTCACAGTTTAAGAACTTTTCCGATCCACGGTAAAGCTTCTATGATGCCTTTCAAATCAGAAAAAAAAAATTAAGAAATTTTCCACGATTTTTGCAAATTAAGCTAATCATTTATTCCGCTAAAGCGACTGTTGAGCACACACATCTTTTGTCTGGAGAGTGTTGGGCGTCCGCCATTGATGATGTACTCGGCGGCCTCAAAGCCACGCCTCCTTTTCAGCCAGTGTACAGCGTTGCCGTTTTGCTTAAATTTAAGCAAAATTGATTATTGTTTTCCTGTCTGTTAAAATGTTAAATCTTTCTTCGTTTTGCAAATTTTTTTTATTAAAATAGACAATAAGGAAAATTTTCCATTACCATTTCAATCAATTCAATTTTATTTTAGGAAGACTGTTATCCATATTCCGTATAAATTTCCAGGAAATGTTGCTCTACGCAACTCCTGACTCGCGCTCGTCGCATTTTCAAACCTCCGATTGAACTTCTGCCATGAAATCGCTGGTCATAAAAACATTTGAATGAAAAAAAGTTTAATGTTTTAAAAAGTTTAAAAAGTTTGATGAAAAAAGTGGCAACATTGCTTTTTCGCGTATACAGTTGCTAGCTGCGTTTCAATGATCGCCGATCGAAAATTCATTTATTATTTTACTTTAGTTGTGATGTGATGCTGATAGAAATCTGGATCAATTTGTGATCAACTCTGTTTGTTTTGTTTCCTAATTAATTGAGGAAATTTTAATTGACAGCACCGACAAATGAATATGTACATACACAAACAAATTTTCTTACATATGTATCATGCATATGTATAGTAAATGTTTTGCTAATAATTTCTAAATTATTGATTTTTTTTTTTATTTTCCTTGCAGCATGAATCGTGTGATAAAATCAAAAGAACGTAAGCAAAAACAAACATGTCCGGGGCACAAAACACTACAGGTGAGTACTCAATTACGATGACTTGTGAATCTACTTACTATAAATAGGTTTATTAAACTGCAAAGTCCAGTTTTCGGTTCAACACAGCATAAGTTTCAATACACTTTTCTTACCTCAATTTTTGTACATAGTTATAAAACTTCACAGAAACACTCTTCATTAGCGATTTTGTCCATTGCGCTGGGTTTTAATAAACACTGAACTGAATTTCAATAGAAAATGAGTTAGGGCCTTTCTATAAAGTTTAATGCAAAATCTATTCTTGGACTATAGATAATATGTATGTACATACATATATACAAATGTATCTTATCGTTTGCCGAACCTTACTTGACAACAAAAGTAAGCGCCGCCACTTTAATTACCACTTTGCCGGCTTGTTGATTGAAATTATTTACAACTATAATATCACTTTAATCAATAAGTAACTAGTTGTTAATTTTATCAACCTAAAATCGGAAGAGTTTTACGTAATAAAGTTCATGCGGCCGTCGCCCCGTAAATTTGTTGACAGTTTAAATTCATTCGAAGTTTCTATATTTAATAGATATTGTGACGTTGATAATTAGTAACGTTTTTGCAAGATTGTCTAGAATACTATCTTTTATTCTCCGACTGTTTCTACGTACTCATAGTTTTGTGTTAACGCTTACATAATTTCTTAAGGTAAAATTCTTAAAATGACCAAAAATTAATCTTCTTTTACACCTCTATAGCCTTAGTAAATACGTATTTGGCGCTAAAATGTTTCTCTACGTTTTACGAATCTATTTAGTTTATGGTGTGCGTCTTGATACTTTCACTCAAAAAGAGCGATCTACTGAATTACTGCTCCCTTCGAATGGCAAATGGCGTTTTATAGGAAGTTTTATCATGCCAGACCGCTGTACTACCACTCCGTACGAGCTAGGATCAGTTCCTGGTGCGAGAAACAAAACAAAAAATTTGTTTTTTTCTAATTGCGGCCGCCCCTCGCTCGCATTTCTGCATTGAAAAGGTTTCTCTTAAAATCCAACAAAAAACTTAGCAAAAGTATAAGCGCGAAATATTATTTTTAACCGACTTAAAAATAAATACCATAATAAAATATTATAAAGTAAAGTCTTTGTCTCAATTCGTCGACCATAAATTTTTACATTTGCAAGTAATTTTAAATTATGTATATACAATTTAACGGTACTATTCCTACGTTAATGGCAAATCCATTTATCAATTAACTACTGCGCCTCAAACTTTGACGCCGAATAAAAGCATTATTTTGTCATTGCCACTTACAGCCCTATTCGCACATCATTGACAGAATTCATCGTATGACGATTGACAGAATTACTGCGCCTAATACACAATATAAGCATTGATTCGTCGTTGTCGCGAACTCAGTAGTTCATAACAATAACAATGACAATTGTCGCCTTACCTAAGTTTTTTACGATTAAAATTCTGATAGTTAGATTTTTGAATTTTTTTCTTAACTATTATTGAACCAGGATTCTTAAATATTACTGTGAAATTTCAAATGTGTTTTTAGTGCTATACATTGATATATCGATATTTTAAAAACGATATCGATACGACGATTTATTCAATTCCGCCATTTCGATATATCGATAGTGATATTTTTGAAAATATCAAGCCTAATTCAATGATCCAATAATAAAAGGGTTTCTCAGAAAACAGTTTCCCCGCTCCCTCTTGGCGAAATCGGCTGCTTTTTGGAAAACTGATAGTATCATTTTGAGCTTAAGAAGGCGATTATTTAGTGCGAGATGGACGCGAACGTATAAAACCTTTGTTTATTCCAATGTAACTATAGTTTCGAACCGCAGAATATATAAATAAAAATGTTTATTCATGCGATTTGAAATATATTGTTATATGTTTGACACTTCAATCGCAGCCTAAAATGGTGCTGAATACGCTTTTCTAAATAATACATAAGCTTTTTAAAGGGTTAGCATTAACATAATCGGTACGGTTAAGTCTTTGGTGGATTTTTATATCAGAAACTAATTTTTGTGAAAAATACAAACAGAGGGTACTGAATATTAGCCCTCGGTATATGCTCTGGAGTTTCATCAAACAGCTCACAGAACCTACCGTCTTTCTCAAGAGAAAGTCACATTTTAAAAAGATGGCATCTTAACTTCCAGTGTCAGCTAGCTTCAGGATCCTAGAGGAAGTTAGGATCTCGTAGATTGTCGTTTATAATTACTTAAAGAGAGTTTACAGTTATCCACAAACCTTGATGTTGTGTTGTGCGCTGTCGTTCAAATTTCGCATAGATCTCTACTGGCAATAAAGTTGGATATATGACCGTTGGTGTAAACTTTCCGGGTCCCATTATTGCCGTCAACGAACATGAATTCTTCAGTATACCAACGTTGTGAATTCGACAGCGGAATCGTCAAAGAATGGCTTTGAACCCACAAAAGACCCAGAAGGTATCTACTAGTTATAATCGCCATGCTTCCATCGCAAGACCATCCAACAAACCAAGGAGGCAGGAAGAAGTGTGCTTGGGATGATTTTCAGCGCTTCCGTTGTGTAAAGCTACCACAGGCACTGAATATATTATTAGCCTCGTTGGTAACCGCTGTGAAATGTGAGCTACAATTTAGTCTTTTGTCTAGATTTACCCCTAGGGGCTTCGCTTCGTGCGATAACTTAATCTCCGCTAAACTTCTAACAAACTAATCTTTTTAGGTGATAGGTTCGGTAGTTGCATCTTAAGCTAATGCGAATTGACAGGATTTGAAATTCGAATTATCCCGCAGATAAACCAAAAACAGCCAAGATCATATAAGGCAAATGCCGAAAGAGCCGTGAACTTCAATAAAAACTTCCCCGATATCGTTTTCGTTTCATGTACTTCAAACGTGATCTTTCTTCGCCAAGATCGAGACGAATGTTATACCTGTTTGCCAAAGATATTTTTCCACAGTTCGCTTATAATCTAAACATGGTCTTTTACAAGTTCAAATCTATAAGTGCAAACATTATATGATTCACCAAGCTATTTTCTTCCACTAAAATAATTTTGACCCACCTCAAACATTACTTTTTAATCCCAACCCAATCTTTTCTGCTTGCAGACCCGCATAACCCACCAAGAAAGTCTCTTACGTTCTATGCAACAGGAGAATTATACGCTGAAACGTAGCATACGTCACTATGAGCGCTGTTTAGACGATGTTATGCGAAAAGTGGTGGACGCCATTGTCGCCGAAGATATACTCCGCGAGGAGGTCACCATGCTTAAGAATCGTGTACGCGACTTGGAAGCGCAAAACGCTGCGCTTTCAGCCAGTCCTGCCAAGGGACGCGACGAAGGTTATTGTACAATGAGCAGTGGGCAGCCGCAGCCGTCGAATGGGCATCTGGAAGATTTGCCAGAAGAGCCGGAGCAATGGCTGTTACCCGCCGAACCGTGTTCGACTGAAATGGAAGACTGGAGCATGTCGCAAGAGGAGTTGCCCGTAGTGACGCTGGACGATGAGCATCAAAACCTGCGCGGCGGGCGTTTGATAACAAACCTACGAAGGCCAAACGGTGAAAATGATTGGATATGGAACTCGAATGATTTCCTAACTTCTACTACGGCGGAAACGGACTCTGAGTCAGAGGCGATCTCGCAATTGTTGCAACAAAAGGTGAGTGAATGCGTACATGGGTACGACAGGTTCACAAATCTTACACACTACACTTTCTTTTTCACAGATCGTTTACTCCGAAGATGAAGACATTGCGCGCACTGAGTTCACCAACGAGTTCTACAAGCTGGTCGATATACGTTCTGCCTCGGCGCGCAGTCTATTTTCCTACATAGAAGGCGAGACAGACGATGAGGATGACGACGATGAGGATGCAGCGTCCAGCCTGTCTGAACGACGCGTGCGCCTGCGCTGCAAGCCAACGCTAAATGGCAACAGACTGAAAGCGCCCAGCCCAACGCCAAGCGAAGCGGGACGTGCGCAAGTGACCAGCTGCTCATCCAGCGAATCAGACGAACACTCGCCTTGCACGGCGACGCAACACGAACTGAATGGCAGTGTAGTCGAAGGCAGCATCGAAGAGGAGATGGACACACAGTTGTGTGGCAACGAAAACAGTGATATCGAAATCGAAGACATACAACTAGAACCAGAGGTGTTGCACAAGCTTAACGAGCAAGAATGCATTGAAGCAATAATACGCACGGAACTGCGTAGACCCGTAGTAGCTGCAGCGGCAGCGCATCCAATGGTCAAATCTAAATCGATGATGCACAAAACCGAAAGCGAGCTAAATGGTCTCAATGGACTGCTGCGAAACGGTGCAACGGTCGTAGACGGCAACAATGGCAGGCCGCCGCGTGTGGTGCGCAGCGAAAGTGTTGGCGGCAGTCCCAGCAGCAGTGGCAGTAGCGGCGGCAGTGGAGGTAGTGGTATGAGTCGTGGTTCTGTGAGTGCGCACAAATTGCAGCAGCGATCTGTCAACTCTTGGCGCAAAAGCAGCGGTTGGAAGCGCGTCGTGACGCCGACTAGTTCGCCCACAGCGCCGTTGTCACCGAAAAAGGTGAGGAAACAGTGCTTTTATTTATTTAACTAAATTGCATTTAATTTTCTGTTTTTTTTTGTGCCATAGGAAGTGAAAACGGAGATTGTGCGCAACGGTGTCAGCGCAACGCCAAAAATACCGCCAACGCGTATACCAACCAGCGTACAACAGCAATTGTCGCCGCCATCGCCCAAGCAAAACCAAAGCGCGCCAATACAATTTGGTGAAACGCAACAACAGCAGCAGCAGCAGCAGCTATTGCAACAACAACAACCGATACGAAAATCGAAAATTCCTCCACCAGTTCCCGTGCGACGTTCTTATGCGAGCTAAAAAACAGAAATGCAAGGCTACATAATGATAATAAAATTAAGTATTGATGATGTTATAAAACGATATATACCGTTACGGTTTAAACGAATCCCAAAAGTTAATTAATTTAAGCAAAATTATTAAAAAAGACTTATATGTGATATTTGAGCGAAGAAAAAGAACGCAAAATAGATGTAAAAAGGTAAACAAACAGCACCGCAGAAAACGCAAACATATTGCTGAATCGAAGTGTGGAAGAAACATAAACGTAACACCAAAATATAAACTGCCTAATCTACAAAAAAAAAATATAACAAAATAACCATAACACTATTAAATTAACATTTACTTATTATTAACATTTTGGCACAAAAATAAAATCAGGTATAACTTTTGCAGCGTTTGTAAAAATTACTAGCCACTCAAAAATTTACGAAAATTGTAAAATGTAAATTTACACTGCCTGCAAAATGTCTGTACTACAAGTTATTAAACGTATTTTATAGTTTGGCAATCAACTAAAGATTTGATATACTTACATATTTATAAGTATGTATATATGTACATACACATGTAAATTCATATACATACGTATATGTATATGTAGATCGTACTTTAGATTAGTGGTTTCTACTATTTTCACCACACTCCCCCTACTGGTGGGGAGTGCTCACATTTGGTTGCAGAATAGCGAAAGCCAGCGGAGTAACAAATACAACTTCCAACTCACACAAATACTTATCAGTTTATTCCAAAATCGTTTGTTATATGCTGGAACACGGGATAGTATGCCAAGTGGAAGCGACTCGTTGGTTATATTCGAAGCGAAATTACTATTGAATAAGTATTGTATGCAGAAATACAAAGTTTGATGGAAAAAAATATATATATTTGTTTGTACAAGTTGTGTGTGTGTCTGTGCAGACTTAAAATTATTAAATATTTTGTATAATTATACAAGAATGCCCGAATGTATACATATAAATATTTATGCATATTTATTTATTACTTTTTACGTCAAAGTGCATATTGATTTAATTATTAAGCGGAAAAGGCATTTTTTCGTAACTTAATTACTTAAAAAATTTATTTTTTTTTATAAAAGAAAGCTTACAAAATCGCCTCATGAAAATGCTGCTTTAAGGTGCATCACTCTCCATACAAAAAGGCAATCGGTTCCCCGAAATTATAAAACTTATTATATTTTAAGATTGCCACCGAAATATTTCGAAAAAATATTAAGATGTACGTGAGCTGGACCGACTTGAAAATGCTTGCGATTTTTATATAAATAAAATAAATTTTTGAAAATTGTTTTTCTAAAAAATTACATCAAATAATAGACAATAGAAATTAAGTATAAAAAATGTTTTTACAAACTAATTTTATTTATAAAAAAAATGGACTTTTGGAGGTATTTTTTAGATCGGTCCAGCTCACGTAAATCTCCATATATTTGCGATGTATTTCGACGGAAACTTTAATATAATATTATAACAAATTTTATAATTCCGGCTAAGAAAAACATTTTTTAGTGAGACGTTTTACATTTCTTTGTCAATGTGCCCATCTTTGAAGAGAATGCAGCTTAAAAGGACTATACATACATATATATGAATCGGTAAAAAAAAAAAATTCTATGTTTTTGACACTTAGGTTCCTTTTAGCTTTCCTTGTCGCATATTTTATTATTTAGTGCTCTTCCACTAGAAGATTGTTTAATTAAAGCAAAAAATAAAAATCATTATTAAAAATATGGTTAATAATACTTTCATTAATTTTTTATACATACATTCTTAATTTTTTTGCAATATGCACTTTGGCGTGCAATATTGTATTTGAGTCTATCAAAAAAGCATGTAAATTTATGAATCTAAAATTGTTTGTAATCTGTTAGTTTATATAAACTATAATTATGGTAATCTGACTTTTTAGGGATTTTGAAATATTTTATTGCATTAATGAAAATTTAATATATTTTCTTTGTACAATACAAGAAGTTTTCCAACTAAATAATACGACTTACCATACATATAGCAAAGGGGTATTCACGAAAAACTAAAAACACACAAATGAGCATTAAAGAATATTGAATTAACAAATAAAAGACAATTGATATACATAAATTGGAAGCTTCGTACAACCAGATGAATATAAATTAAACCTTTATAAATCGGGTGTGTATGAAGCGAAATTCACCTTAAACAATAATATGCAAAGTGTCCGATATCGTGAATATCTCTATAGCATTATATATAACTCAAATATGACACTTATTTTGAAATATTATTATAAACAAGGTATTTAAATATATTCAGCGAACTAATGTACATACGTATGTAACAAGCTAATAAAACAGAGACATTAAAGGCCATTTTCATAGCGGTGAGTTAACTCACATACGGCAGTTAACTGCAGATTTTCAGTACAAAAATTTAAAATTAACAGTAAAATGTGAGTTAAGGCTCTACTGTGAAAATGTTCCTAAATTCTTTATAAAATAACAATTCAGTTTTTCCTTGTATAAAGCATTTAGTATGAAATTAATTTTCTATGCGCATAACATTGCCGAACAGGTGAGAGGAAACGAAGTAGAAGTAAGCAAGTAGCTGAACGAATGACAAAAATCTTATGTCACGTCATGTAAACTATTAAAATTAAGTAGTCTTCCGCACAAAATGATTAGTAAACAAAAAAAAAAGAGAAATAAAACAAATAAAGACAAATAAATATAAATAAAACAAAAACATCACATATTATAAAACTTCACTGATCCCAAATATACAATAGTTAAGTAAAGCAAAAGAAATACTTTTTATAAATTATATGACATTTTGTATTTAAAATCAGCAGATGACATGAGATAATACAATTGCTAACATAAAATAAAACATTTAAATAATTACTCAAAAAAAATATGAACAGTAAACCCATAATAGCAATCAATTATATAAAAAAAAAAATATAATATTTTAAACACAAATGAAAACGAAGGAAATAGCATAATAGCTAAATAGTTATAACGGTTTCTAAACAATACATAATAAAAGTATACAATATACCAGGTAAATTGTTGGCGGTTCACCCTCATAGTTTTTGTACGTATAAAATGAGAATGAGAAAGTGGATAAATAAAAACAAAGCATCAATATAAATTGAACATTAAATACAAAATTAATAAACTATAGAAAACGTAGCTTTCGATGCGTCAAAATACAATTGTCTGAAGTGCTGGGCAGCTTTTAACTGGTAATGTTACTGCCTCCATGGTGCAGAGTTTAATGATGACTTCTAATTGAAAGTGGTACGATACAAGTATTTTTTAAGCAAAAAACACAACCGACTTCAACGCTGACTAAAAGTTTTCGAGTACCGTTAATTTCTTCTTAATCAAATGATCGAAACTAAACCCAATTAGTTTGGCACCACCTTGAGGTACCACACTTCCGTTAAAATATGTATATAAAAAGAAATATGGATTGAAGTCGGTTAAAAATAAGAATAGTCAACATTGTACTTTTATATCGGATCTACAGAGTTTGACAAATAGATAAATGAATTTAAACAAAAGTATGTTTGCTAATATTTTGGGCGATCCCCATAAACTTGAAAACTTGAAAAAATCGAAGACTTGAAAATTTTTAAGTCTCCTTAGACTCAACGGGTATTCGAAGAAAGATTCGATCAATTTAAGTTTTGAGCAGAATGGGCACAATGCAACTGAAACTGCTATTGTCAAAAATATCATCAGAGCTGTGGCTAAGGTTCTGTAGGTTTCCAGTACCATCAAGGAAATGTATGTACCCGTATAACAAAATCTTATCGGTCAAGAATACAATTTTCTTCCTATTTTTTGCACTCAGCAAGCTTATTGAAATTTGCATAACGGGTAAAAATTTCCATTCATACATAGCTTATAAAAAATTTAATTCATTAAAAATTTATCCTGCCTTGATGCGTTTTTTTCGTAGTAGGTATTAATTCGTCCTGCTTATTTCTGATAGCTTCAGTGACACCTTCTGTTTTTTTTTTCAATCGAAGGCAATCAGGAAATATTTAAGCTGAATTTTCTTCATTGCAGGCGAGAATTATGGATTATATTCTACCAAACTTCTCACATTTGTAAAGCGCGAAAACGGCACGTTTTAAAGATGTGGCTATTTTTCTTTTGTTTATTTAATGCTTATTTTTTATGTACGGCTCGTTGTCTAACAAAAACCATGTAAGTGCGAATTCCGAACTTTGTACAAAAATTAGGAAAATTCTGCAAAGATTCATGGAAAATTCAAACTTTTTAATTAGATTTCTTCTTTCTTTGTTTAAGTGCAATTTTGAAATAGCTAGGACTTAAAGTTGATTTTTGAGTTTTTTTTTTAAGGTGTTGCTTATTTTCTTCATACAAGTAAAAAAAAAAATCTACTTTGAATGGGAAAAAATGCGTAGCACCGTCAAAAAATAAATTGCCAAAAATCAACAGTATTTTGTAGACACTTTAAACTTGCCCTTTATTACTCTTAATTTGAATAGGCTATAAAAGTGTATAGCAAAATTTTTCTAAAAATTCTTATAAAACAATTTGAAAATTTTATGCAATTCTATTAAAATGTGTCGAATTTTCCTCATTTTTGTTTGAAAACTTGTCAAAATGTCCGCCCGTATTTGAATTTTCGCCACCGTATATTGTAGCCCTCAGTTTTGTGGTATGCTTCAGTATCACTGCGTTGAATATCATTGGCAGGACTTTGCAAGACTGTAGAGGAATATAAACGTCATTGCTGATACTTATATTTATATGCATTGTGAACATTTTCTAAGTTAAATTTACAGTTTCGAATATAAACCGCTGGTGTTGGTCGAAAAAAAGGATACCTTTGATACCTTGACGTAACACTGACTGTTAGGAAAAAAGTGTGTGTGGAAGGAATATGCCCCAGGCGCTCAGTAGCCAAGCTACGCCACTGATTTCGGTCAAAGTTTTGAAATTTTCGTGCTTTTTGATGATTATTCCAATATCTGGAAATATTCGAAATGATTTTTATTTATATAAACTTAACATAATACATACTTCATATTTTCGTTAAATATCGTCGAGAGCTCGTACAAAGACCCATTATCACATTCAGACACTTTGAAAATGGCAATATTCTACATAACTTTACTATTCACCAAGCAAACAGCGTTGTATTTTGTTGTGCACTTACAATGGGGGAGTTCCCGATTTGTAGCATTTTAAATGTAGTCGTACAAATCGTGAACTCCCCTTGGAATTTAACTTCCAACTTATGATTCAATTGGAAACAATATATAATAAACAATAACAATGCAAATGCATACTTATGTATTATTTAAGCATATACAATAGCATAAACTTATACATACAGGCGTTTGAATGTACATATGTTTGTATTAAAAATAAATAATACATAATTATTTACAAGTACATACATAGTATGCAGGTACGTTATAAAAAAGTTATTTTTAGTGGCAACGAAATAAACAGCAAATCAACCACTTGCGAAACTAATAATTTCACTACGCTGGCAAATAGGTATTTGCTTACAAATTTGCTGGCAGATATTTATGCGGACATACTCGTGTTCAAGCAATGTCATGTTTGCCGCGAAAGAAATGCCTCACTTCTTCCTTTTTCTTAGTAGCGTAGTCAGTACAAAATGTTAAACAAAACTACTACTAAATTGCTATACTTAATTATATTATATTTGCTACTACTACTACCACTACTATCAGCCTAAGATTTGTATGGGTTAATAATTAATTAGTTATTAGTAATTACTACTACTTGTATACAAACATTCTTACATATACATAAATATTTTAGTGTAGCAGCGACGTTAAAGATCTTAGATTTAGTGCGTATTTTGTAATGTATTATATATTTGTAGGGAATACGCATAGTTTTTCTCAGTGTAGTTAGTTACTAAATACTACCCCATATTTGTATACTAGACATCTAACACTACTTCTATCACTTTTTTCTGTTAAAATATTTCTTATTTCTATTGATATGTATACATTAAATATTTATTTATAAAATATTAAAAACTAGCATTTATGAAGAATGAAAACACAATAAATACATTCAAGAAATGAAAATGGAAAATAAAATTTATAATAATAATGAACTATAGAAAAATTGGTTGTTTTACTGCATAATATAATAATAAGTATTTAGCGCCTATACTTTTGCGACTGTGCGACTTACAATTTAACGAGGCCTCCGAACTTCAAATGGTTTTATGAGACGCCCTTTTCAAGGCAAAAATATACTCTGAGGTTTGCCAGTGCCTACCGAGGGGCGACCGCTGTTAAAAAAAAATCTTTTTCTAATTTAGATGTTGAGGGTTAAAGTTTTCGTATTTTGTTTGAAAATGGAATTAATTTATCGGAAATATTATATATGTATAAAACGACTTGGATTATAAATTTTGATCTCAGTCGAATTGACGAGCAATTTTCCTGTAAAATATTTAAACCCTGTAGCTTTTAACGTAACGGGTCCTTTAGGCCCATTTTTTAAAAGGGCTTTATGTTATACCATTAAAAGTGACAGATAGTTTATGCTCAGTCCGTTATCGGACCTTTCTCTTTGGATGCTGGATTTTCCGACAGTCGCGCCAAATATCCTTTCCTTGCTCATCTTGGTATTAAAATCTCCAAGCACGATTTTGTTAGCTCTCGTTGTTAATAAAACGCGGTGATTTTTGGCAACTTTTCTTAACTCATTTTCTTCCTTGCAGATTAAATTCGACAATTTTTTTTATGGAAAAAAGGCGCATACAGTAAAAAAAAATATCAAAAATCAATGCGAGATTTTATCAACTTAAAACTTACACTAGAATTTATTAAAAGTTATCAAAAATCATAATTCAAAAATTCATAATTAAAAATATTCTGATTCAAACCAACCAGCAGCAAAATCGAGAGCCTCGTATTATATAAGGCTGCGGCCTTCATCAGTTAAATTGTGCCACCCAATATTGTTTAAATATGAAAAGAGTCTTCGGAGCTTTCAACAGCTCCAGTGAGTGTTATGAAACTGAGGATAAGAATACCATTACTATAAAGTATGATTTTCTCCTAACTATGATCGACGGGAAAGTTTTAAACCAAATAACGAATACGGCATCTAAAATGAAATGTACAATTTGTAAAAATAATCTGAGTTTTTCAATATCTTGATGAGGCCCGAGCATAATTATAGCACCGAAATATTTTCTGATTTATTACATTAATGCATTATTATTAATTTTTGACATTCCATGGGATAATACATGTAATTAGCTACCAAACGCCAAAAAGAGAAAGCTGCAACGTCAATCATGAAGTCGTTAGGACAGAAAATCTAAACCAATTTGATTCAAACAAAGGGTGTTAAGCACATTTTTTTGTTGCGCTCTCAGAGAGACAGAGTGCGAAAACAACGTATAAGATTACCAACAAAATGTATCCGGACACGAGCGGAAAATCCGCCTTTTCTCATTTAGTCAGAACCGGATGATCAATTTTGGTCTGTTCTGAGAAACGCACAATGAAAGTATTCTCCGTTTCAGTTGAATATATACACGTCTTTTCCTCAAGATCTGAGCTTATATCTGGACTTGTGGTCATCGGAGACGCTTCTCATTTCGAAGAATGATGAATTTCGAAGAAATGTGGTGAAAACAAAGAAAACACTTTGATTGCTTTGGATTTTATTCCACTTTTTATCAAACTACATATCGTCGTTAAAAGTACAAAATCGCGTATCGTCATTCTGCAAAACCGCGTAACTGACATTGGCTGCCAAAAATTTGATTTGCTCACACAAACTCTTGGCTTAATCCTTATCCATTCGTCCTGAAATACGCGGTTTTGCATTTTGTTGATACGCGGTTTTGTACTTGAAACGACGATATGTATTTGCATAAAAAAATTATCCACCTATTATGAATTCGTACGAGGCACGATAAACGCTTGCATTCTGTTATCCCCTATTACGAACCGATGTTTGCCGAAGCAAATCCAATAGTAGTTGCGATCCCGTACGAGTCCGGACTAGTCAGAAATAATCAGAATCAGTCAGATTTTACTGGAAATCGATCCCGTACTCGGTTCTCTGACTATTGAGAGGACAAAAAAGAGAGTAAATACGGTTCTCTCTCTGTCAGAAGTTACCAGTTTTAGTCCGAGAATTTTTGGCTGGTAAATTCTGGTAAATGTGTCAAACGATCAGCTGTAGTGTGTTTGGCAGCCAAATTGTAAACAAAAGAAAAGTGCACTCTGCTAATTTATGTTGAAAAGTATTTAATTACTTGTTTAAGTGGATTCTAATGAATTTGAAAGTATTATTAGTTATTTACATGTGTGAGCTGAGTGTGTTTACATACAAAATAAGCAAAAATTTACAACCAAAATTTGGAGGTTATGTTGAAGTTGACAGAAGTTACCATTTTTTACTAGAAAGCGATCCCGTACTTTTCAAGTTTTACTGTAGCCCTCTGAGCGAATTTTTATTTTTTGACAGTTTTACTAGTCCGAGTCCGAGGAATACGGGATTGCACCTAGTTAGCGTAACTGATTTGTGTCGGTTAACGATAAAAAGTGAACAAGAACCACTGACATTCAAAGTAATACATCTGTCGGGCATATGAAAAGAATAATACGAAAATTAATTTCATACGATACGCTTGCATGCGTTTATCGTCTGTCGAATGGAAATTCATAATAGGGTGGTAAATTTATTATTTTTATTCAATTGAATAAGCGCAGTGGCTTCAACAGACGGAAAGGACTACATTGAGCCCAAAAATGTTCACCATTCATTTTAGTTATATAACAGTTTTAACACATCCTCAATTCCCAAGAATGATAGAATACAAGATTGCGCCAATCGAGCTGAGAGCAACTGGCCGTGACGTCAAAAAATACCAGAATGAGAGAGCAAGACGAACTCGACAAGTAAAAGAGGAAGCATCGAACAAAAGGCAGTATTGCCAAGTTTCGAATTTGAAAAAGCACCAAATTTTTATTGGTATATTTTATGGACTTTATATACATACATACTTTTATTGTAAGGATTCCGACTCAAATTAATAAAAATCAATGTTTCTTGCACGACGGTCGATTTCTTCCGGCATGATTGAAGGTACTGCCACATATTTTGTTGTCGCTTATGTCACTGTGCCATGATGTTGTTAAAATTTTTTGTAAAGTTGCTTACCATACTTACGATTGCTATAAATTTTGCTTCCATTTTTTTAAGATTTTCTAATTTGGTGTCTTCAAACTAAAAACGAAAGCACAAAAAACGCACCAAGCACCAAACTCAAAAATTTTCGCGTTTTGAATACCCACTAAACTTGGCGCGAAAAGCGTCAAGTTGGCAACAGTGAATGTAAACAAAAGTATTTTATGACGTCAGCGATTGGGTGGATGCTGTCAAATCGACGAAGAGAGGGTTAGCGGTCCGCGAATGGCGCGACCTTTATTTTCTGGATCGTGCTCAATTCCCATGTATCGAAGCATGCCGGAAAACAGTTCTAGAGGCGTTTTGAAAAATGAAGGACATCTCCCGGCCTACCACTTTAATTGTCAGATGGATTGTCTGTGCGCAATTTTGGTAGAATATTCAAGAACAATATGCGAAAATATTTGACAAACACTCCCTTCTTGATCATGGAAGGGAAACAAACAACGTTCGTCCTTTCAGAAAGCGTGAAAATTATTATTAAATCAGTTGTAGGCATCAAAATTAAATTGTTCGCCGGAGAAAACCACCATTTTCTAGTTGTCCTAGAGTTGTAAAAAATTGCAATCATAATTCCTAACGTTATGCACCGATTCCTAACGTAAACCCTTTTTGACATTTTCTGAACGCATGTGTATACAGTAATTCGTAGTCCACTTTGTGGTCTCAATAAAACCAACGTTTTTCTTTAATTTGATCCACTATCTCTACAATAAGTTGCTGGCCTCGTAGCTTTTGTGTTCTCGAACCATTTCATGCTATTTTAATGCTATGCTGTGAGCCGGCTTCAGTTGTCAAATATATTTTCATTTCCTTGATTTTTATTTCCAAGAGATCGCCTGCAAAGTCCTTTATCCGTAAAGGGCTCTTTTTATGCATTTTTGGCAGTTTAAAGTGGGCTTGCTTCGCCCATTATTCTCTGTTATAGTCAGAGATGAAGAGAACAAAGGTTCGTACCGCTTTCCCTCTTCCAGTGAATTGGACAGAAACGCTGTTTGTATGACGTCCAACTTGTGCAACATGTTTACGTTTTTTCTTGTAAAATTTCCTCTTCTTGCATTCTTGCTTCAGTGAACATAACCCGGACCATCTTCAAATTCGTTCATATCTATGGAGCAGATTATTTGAAAATCTGACCATTTGGACCCAAACGCCCGTGAAAATCGGTGGCAGTACATGAAGATGTCAATTCAATAGTTAATTTGGTTACGTTTAGTTAAGTAGGCGCATTTATGGAGCATGTGTTAACGTTGGTTTTACAGTTTTTATCAAAAGATTTTTAGCAGCAAAGGTTTAATGCTTTCTGCATACTATTCCCCTTTAATTAAACATTTTCACAATAAAGGCAGTTCTAAAGAACTATATAGAAAAGTACTAATTACATATATTAACTAGTGAGCTTTTTAAAAAATGTAAATAAAACCATAAAATTTAAAAAAAGGCATAAGGCAGGTTTAATACAGTTGGGATCTATCATAAAGTAAAAATTTTTCAACAAACATTTATTTCAACAATTCAACTAATTTTTTGCGTAACTCTTTCGCGCACGGTCGCATACTCGGTTCATCGTGCCAACAAGATCTGCAAAGCATTTCGTAGCTCTGCTCCTTGTCGCCATCCTGTTGGCCCAAAATATTTCCAAACACCGCCAACAGATCGCCAATATCCCCTTTCGTGCGCTGCTTTTGTTGTTGTTGTTGTTGTTCCAGTGATTTTAGTTGTTTCAATGGTGAACGCTGAGCAATCGGCAACTTACTACACTTCAACTCGGCACTCAGATCACGCATAACATTCATTTTTGAATTTAATGAGGCGAATGGACGACGCCTAATCGTCTGAGGCACCTCATCCACACCACAATCGGAGAAATGTAAGTGTTCCTCGGGTTGTTTGGTGCGATTGAGTACATTTGTAAGATGCACTAATGAGTGATAGGTGATCTCCTCTGCTGTCAAGTTGGCGCAATGGCATTTATGATGCAATGGCATAGTCGAATGCAAAGCGCTTTTGCAATCATTGCCAACGCATTTTGTATTGCTAGAAAATGTACTATCGGGACGCAGCTTATTCTTGACCACCTGATAGGCGACTACTTCATTGCAAGCGATCCAATGATAAGGTAAACGGCGCTGTTGCATTTGCCACATTGTAATGCCAAGCGAGTAGATGTCTGCAGCAGGTGTAAGCGGTCCTTCGCACAACGCTTCTGGGGACATGTAACGCATGGTGCCCTGAAAAAGTGCATAGAGTAATACAGCATTAGAAAGTAGTGATGGTAATATATATTTACACGTGCATTGCCTTTGGGTGCCGGCTTAGGTGTATCGATCTTCAGCGAAGCTCCAAAATCACATAGCTTACACACATACTGCTGCCGGGAGAAGAAATTCGATTGTGTTTCGTATCGTAATTTTGGTTCGATGCCAACGAGAGATACCAGCACATTCTGTGGCTTTACATCAAGATGTAGCAGATTTCGCTTGTGGCAATAGGAAAGTGCGGATAGGATATCCAGTGTAATGCTAGAATAATTAATTAAAAATTTATATATATGCACTAATCAGTGATAGGTGTAGAAGGGATTTAAGAAAAGCGTTGTTCATAAAAATAATAACAATGATAATAGATTGGCGCTTACATAATATGTTTGTGTTTGGCCGAGCTTCTCCGCCGATTTGTGGCGTGCGGCTCTTATGATAAGCATGGCAGAAGTACACTCGGAGGTTTGCCATTGCCTGCCGAGGGGCGACCGCTATTAGGAACAACTTTTGTTTTATTTTTTGATGTTGGGTTGAAGCGGGCTTGAACCCAAGTACTGCGAGATGATAGCGCGCACTGCTAACCACTTCCCCACAGTGGCCGCAAATGTTATTAGACTTTCATAAAAAAATTAACTTTGTCATACATATAAGATGAAAAGAAAGGAGTAACTTTGTAACTTATCTACAGGCAGAAGGAGGTCTATAAGTCACATGCGGAGTTCTTAGGGGCAGTTCTCAGGGTGAAGTGCTTTGTCCCTTGCTCTAGTGCTTGATGGCATGTAGTGCAGGTCCCTCCCTCTCCCCCCTGGCGATAGATAACCTAAAATTGCCTGCTGCCTTCAGCTTTACTCTCCCTCAACGATAACGAACCTGGTTCGACCTCTAGATTTCGAGTTGACTAAACGATTTTAGTATTTTGATTTTCCCCAAAACCGTTTAGAAAGGAGTAAACGGCAACCATCGTCGGGCTAAAAAGCATACTCAGACAGGCGCATGGCGACCTAGAGGGGATGGATGAAATCTTCCGTTAATTGCAGCTCGCAGTTGGCTTTGCACTAGGCTTGAGAGGTCCGAGAAACCGTAATGGCAAACGTTAATACTGCCTTATGCTGAGTGCGCCGACTACCGCACTGTATCTCAGGGATTCATAACCATTAGCGCACACAAGGGGTAGATTTTGCGGTTCAAACGCCCCTTAAGGCTAATAACCTCAAATACAAACTGTATCTTAAGGCTTAGAATTCAGCTCTGAAGAAAAATCCCAAGAAATATTTTTTATTATTTAGCCTAAAAGAGTTTACCACTGATATTTACTTAACAAAGATTCGAAGATTTAATTGGCCAACTTCGCATTCGTTTCGCAAAAATGAGCTACATAATAAAAAATACAAGTTCAGTTATTTTTTTCAGTATTCGAGGTATTAAAACAAGTAACTTTTAAGCAAAAGCCACAACCGACTTCAATTCTCGTATACAAATTTACGATTACCGTTAATTTTTTCCTGATCCTATGATCGGATCCGAAGCAAATTGGTATGGGACCACCTTTCCGATAGAAAAAGAATTATCGAAATCGTGACGTGGTCCAAAGTTATGCGGTAACATACATACAAATATATATATATATATACATATATATGTTCCAACGAATTGATAACCTTTTCATTTTTTTGAAGTCGGTTAAAAAATGAGGCAATCGTGAAAGAAAATGAAAATTTTAAAATTCCGATGGAAAAACTACAATTTTTTTTTTTTGGCGATGCCCCTTAATGTACATGATTACATTCAGAAGAAACAAAGAAGCTCCGGGACAGGAGAACAAAAAATCCTCAGCATCTTCTTCCATACAATGTTAGATAATTTTCTCAGAAAATAAAAGTATCAGTTTTTTAACCGACTTCACAAAAAGGAGAAGGTTATCAAATTGTCGAAATATTTTTTTTTTTATGTATGCTACCCATATATGTAATACTTCTATATTGGCAGTAAGCAAGCTTCTCAATGTGTAAGCATTCCGAAATCAAAGCGAGACAGTCTAGTACCGTTTTTGTTAATGTATTGTGTACTTGAGTGCCGTTTTTGTATATGTGTTGTGTACATGTTTATTTATAAACGTATGTGTTCCTTTTCTTTCGTACGTGTTTATTGATATATCTGTACTGTAGTGTTTTCGGACGGTACTAGCTCTTACTGCCAATATAGGAGTATTACATATATGATGCTACCGCATATCTTTGGACCACGTTAACCGATTTCTATAATTCTATTTTTTAAAGGAAAGATGTTGCCTCACAGGTGGTATATGAAATTTGGCTTAAATCCGATCATTGGATCATGAAGAAATTAACGATAATCTTAAATTTTTATATGAGAATTGAAGTCGGTTTTGTTTCTTGCTTAAAAGTTACTTGTTTTTTATTTTTTTTTTAAATACATCGCATAAAGTTTGCATCTTGAATTTATATGCATTTTGTTGTAAAATAAACTATATTTTAATAAAAACTATGAAAGTAAAGAAATTAATTTTAGAGCAAACAGATTTTTTAGCTTGAGTATATAAATTTATCCAAACTCTGTACATTATCTAGGGACCCTCTAGGTATGCGTGCCACAAATTTCGTATCGTAAGAGAAAATAAGCTACAATTTCAAGAAAGGTAGTTTTGGAGGCTTATAAATATTTATCTTAAATCCTGTGCTAACGTTTTTCTGGTCCATAACAACATACTGGTATTATTAAATACCAAACTTTGTCCTGCATTTCCCAGTGGAAATACGGCATAATGTCTGAGGAAATGTTCCCAATTCTAAATAATCTCGTTTCTGTATACTTTGGCTATAAGAAAAATAAAGCTACTTACAAAATTCTATGCTCCAGCATTAGCTGCGTAGCTTCTATTACGTCTTGTAAACTTTGTCCCACAAGCCTTTCCATTATCACTATACCAAAATTTGATGTAGTTTCAACCTATGCATTGTTCAAATAAAAAAATCTTATTAAAAGTATATACACTTTATCTACTCCAAATCCCTTACTTTCAAAATGGTTATTATATTGCGATGCTTCCAGCCTAAAATTTGCATCTCACTACGCATCGATTGGGCATTCGCTTTACTCCCATTTCGCACGATCTTCACAGCAACGGGTTGACCTGTTGGTAATAAAAAAAATATATAAAAATCGTACATATGTATGAGTACTTCAATTCAAATTTTTCAATTAGAAACTAGTAAGATTATCTGTTTTCGAGTGACTTCATTTCAGTTAAAAATCAACACCGAGACTAAATCAAAATTCTATTTTACTTTAGGGCAGAAGAGTATATTATTACCTTAATTCACAAAGGCGCTAGCTAACCAACAAATTTTTTATTTTAGAGGAGAAGCAAAAACATTATAAAATTCAAATCATGCATACGTATAGGGCGTTTTAAAAAGTGGCACCTATCCGTTGTTTTGGGTACTAACGCAATCAAATTTTTAAGGAAAGTGTACTTTAATATATCCTACCAAAATCTGTGAAAAACGCAGTTTCGAAAAAACTGTTGGTTAGGGCATTTGTGAATTATGGTGACGATATTCAGGCAGGTTCTGCAATTCACTTCCGAGTGAATTTCAACCAAAGTCACTTCGAGTTTAATTTGAGAAGGGGTTGAAATTCACTCAGAAGTGAATTGCAGAACCTACCTGAATAACTTTGTTCACATAAAGTTTGTTTGTAACAGCCTAAAGGAATCCAAATGGATATACTTATGCATACCAAAATGCTTAAAATGAAGATAGAATTCGATTAAGCCGTATCGGTCTGTCTATTCGTCCAGCCATGCATACCATAACCCGGGTTTGCTATTTTTAACCACTTGTCAAACGCTCAAAATTTCCATTACTCGTCTATTAGAAGAAATTTATAGTTTTATAAAATACTTATTTACATGCAGTAAGGGGTAAATCCATTTTTCCCGAACGTACATATCGCACACGATCATCAAAGGTGGCACAACTAGGAATGTTAATCCCGGGATCCCGGGACTCCGGACTTTTTAAGGTCTCGAAATCTCGGGATTTTCGGGATTTGTAATTTGCACTGATGGAAATAATAGAAACTCCTTTTCTCGACCAGTATTGGCTATATTTCTTTTTTTTTAATAATTAATATTTTTATTACAACGCTTTTATCAACTTGCAATGTTGTGTGTCCAGAAACTTTCAATGTTGTGGATCCAGAAACTTTCAATGTTGTGTGTCCGACACCATAAAACCTTTGCTTTGAAAAGTTCCTATAAAAAAGCATAGTGCATAGGGCGACATCTGTAGTGAATAGGGCGAGGTAGATGACATCTAGATATCGCCCTATGTACTACGTTTGCTACAGCGGAAATAGACGACACGCCATTTCTTTAAATAAAATTAATTGGTGCTCGTTTGTATGTACATACATATGTAAATGCATGTGTGTGCACCTTTCTATTAATATCGTTGAATTATTTTAATATCTATTGCAAAATTTTATTCAGACAGGACTAAAAAGTAGAAAATAAATAATACAAAAAAAACTTTTTGCTAAATTTTCAAAATTTCAAAATCAAAAGTTATCAAAACAAATTCTATGGGACTGAGAAATATTATTTTCTACTTTTTAGTCCATTTATAAAAGCGTTGTATATTAAAAAGTTTTTTTTTATATCATTTATTTTATAAATGTCTAGCTCATTATACATAAAACACCGCGCGATAGTAAATTTTAAACACAAATATCAAATATATATTAGCGAAACCATGGGCCAAATATAGTAAAATTGCGTTTTTAGTTTTTCACTCTGACGTCAGTAATTCAAAAATGATTTAAAAAATTCAGAGAAATGCGCTTTTTTTAGGGATTTCAAGAGGATTGCCATCTATTTAAATAGTTAAATTTAAAATATTTAAAAAATTAAATGAATTATTAAAGGAGTGGTCACTCGAAATGGGTTTGAAAACCCTTTATTTCTGACCTTTATGTAGGATGATTTCTATGTGTTTTAAAAATCAAATTCAACTTATCTCATCAGTTTATTGAAATATATGTTTGTCGCAATGTCAGACGAAATAGAATTGAGAAAGTTTGAAAATACTTCTGAAGGGGATGTCCACCTGTTTGAATGGTCGAATTTAGTTAACTTATACATAGGTTTTATTTATTAATATTAAAATTCGGGTATCAATCGAAAGATTTTTATGAAAGCTTTAGTTTGAAAAGATCATTGATTAGGCTGGCCATCTTTTTGAAAAGTCATATCGTACTAACTAGGTATATATGTATGTATATTATACGAGAAGACATTTTGTATGACAGTCATTAGTTTTCCACCGTTCTTTCGATTTTTAAAAATGCGAGATCGACTTAAACCCCTTAGCCTGCAAATGTGCGATAAAGCTTTATTTTTATAATTAAGAACTTTTTTATTGGGGTACACAGGGTGATTTGATATTTGATCAATTAAAAACCACCACTATTCGAGACCTCTCTTCACTTGGAAACGGCTACACGGATTTAGATGAAATATGGCACTCAGATCGCTTATAAGTCTGACTAACATTTGGAATACTAAGGCTTTTGAAATTCAATTTTGGGCATTTAACGCTATGTTTCCACGAACACTATGGCTGCGTTTCTTTATACATTCCGGATAATCCCATTTCACAGCCGGAATAAATAGAATGCGTTTGAAATATAAGTTAACATATCATCAGGAACGTTCTAAAGAATAAGTAAACAAGAAAGTTCATTCTAAACGTTCAGACTGAATAAAGAAATGCAGCCTATGTATTAAAAAATGTTGGCACTAAAAAAGTATAAATGCAGTATTTTTGAAAAAAACCGCAGTTTAAATTTTTGGAACCCAAAAAAAAGTATTATACTACCAAAAAGAGTATATATACGAGCGTTAGGTATGCATCATAAAGGTTTTAGATTATATGAAAGGTGGCGTCTCCCTCTTATCCGTATGATACTGATAACATAAACCTTCGTTCAAATTTTCAGAACACTACGTCAAATAATTCCATAGATTACGACCCAATAAAATTTTTCTCCATGAATAGGGAATTTATTTCGTATTTACTAATAACAAGTTCCAGTACTCTCCTACAAATCTGTGGACTTTTGACAAAACAACTTCTGTGTTGTTTGTAAGTTGGAAATTAAAGTAAATTGTAAGGAACTTTTATTTAAAAATTTTACATTTTTATTAAACTTGCATTAAGATAGCATCTTGGACAACCCTGTTGATGACTAAACATAAAAATATTATTGAAAACTCAATGAATTACTGCTTTGAAGAGAAAATGCCCTCACTGGAGAGAAGTTGTTTTGTCAAAAGCCCACAGAAATATATCCAGATAGATGCATGCAGTATTAAAATTTCAATTTGTATATAATCTGTCACGCCTTTTATATATCTATGTACATAGCCTATGACTATGGTGACCATTCGTACCGGTTTTTGCGGGACAGTACCGATTTCGAGAAAATTGTCGCGCTGAATATTTTTTAAAAGTCGGGACGTATAAGTGTCCCGATTTTTCATATTTGTACCGATGAAGTCCCGATTTCAGAGTTTTCCTTATTAATTTAATAAGAGTTTCCCTATACTCTGGTCCAAAGATTTTTTTCGTACAAACGTGGCAGCACTTTTGTTATCACAAAAAGACATAGAATATAAGAATATATGTATATAAACATAGCCAGCATCCTTATTTTCTACGATCTCTGGTTATGTTTTATTCTGTCAAACTGGTACTCTCGCTATATTGCAGTCTATCATTATTTTCCAATTTTTTTAAGTTCCTTTAACCAACTTCAAAAAAGGAGGTTATCAATTCATTGGAATATATTTTTCTATGTATGTTACCGCATAATTTTGGACCACGTTAACCGATTTCTATAAAGAAAGGTAGTACCTCAGAGGTGGTCCCACACCAATTTGGTTTAGGTTCGACCATTAGATCATTAAGAAATTAACGGTACTCTTAAATTTGTATATGAGAGTTGAAGTCGGTTTTGTTTTTTGCTTAAAAATAACTAGTACAATTCTTTGTTAAGTTTTTCTTTTTGTTTTTTTAATGTAACGATTCTAACTTGAATTTAGTGAAATTATAGAAAATAATAGATACTAATTCCCTCAAAAAAAATATAAGTTGTAGATACAGTGGCGAAAATATTAATAGGGAAGAGACATTTTAGCATTCTTTGGCGATTATTTAATGTCTATTACTTTTTTATGAAAGTATACTCGTTATCTAACAAAAACCATGTATGTCTAAGTTTCAAACATTGCACAAAAATTTGCAAAATTCGACAAGTGTTATAAAATGTTTAGCTATTTAATTAGATATCTTCAAAGTGAAAGTTTGAAGTAGCTAGAACTAACCGTTGATTTTTGCTAAATTATTTTTGTGGAAGGTGTTACTCATTTACTCTATACAAATTTTTGAACATACTTTATATGGAGGAATATGCGAGAAGAAAAAATTGGCATAAATGAACGGTAAGTCCAAGCTACTTCAAACTTAAACTTTGTTACAATAAAATTTAAGGGGCTACTAAACTGCATACTCAAAAAAATTCTAGAAAATCTGATTAAAATGTTTAAAAATTTGATCAACATTTATTTAAATTAGTTGAATATATAAAAACCTTCTACAAAGTTAGAAATTCTATTTATATGTTTTTTTAGATGGTCGGTTATATTTTCATACAAAAATAATAAATATTTTTGAAGCAAAGATAAGTAGTCAGAATTTGCTAAATATCTTTTCCCTATTTAAATTCTCGCCACAGTATATATTGTGTACATTTTTGCTATCATTTTACAAGTTTTTCTCTTTGTTTTGTTTTAAATAAAACTGTATTAAAAGATGTTATGCCTTTTTATTTTAAAAACAAAATTGTAGGTTCGGATTCGATTTTTTGCCACAGAAATCTGGTCACCAGTTGGTGTAACAAAATTTGTTTAAACACACCGTCAAACTGATTACAAATTTAATTTAGGTTCGTACATAAATCAGTTAATTACTCACTAACGACTTAATAGGATTTTAAAATAAGTACTTTGTCAATAAATTAGTTTCAGTATTTATTAAATACAAGTATTTACAGAAATTCGCAAAAGAAGATTTATTTTTATTAAGTTTTATAACTACTCCGTAAAGAAACACAAATGTTAGGTGGAGCTTTTCTATGTTAAGGCGCCGATAAATTTGTAAGTTCGCTGCTTTATTAGTTTATGTACATTTGTACGTGATTCCTACAGATCCTTGTGGTCTTCGAAAATTATGTACATACATAAATTGTTTACTTTATTTATTTTTTATACACATATGTAACAAATAAGCGCTTGTAGCCAATGTCAAATTACAGAAATTATATACATTTGGCCCATGGTGAAATAATAATAAGGTGTTGTCACTTAGGGGGTGGGTGTTGTAAGTTTGGCAATTTCGGCATACCAGCGTTACAGTAATGCCTACTCTATTCATTCCAATATCATTACTGGGCAAAATGAAACAAAAATGGAGCAGACAATTTTGTGAAAAAGTATGCGTAGGTATCACTTACTACGTTTATACGCACGTATTATTTGCAAATAGCAATTTGCAAAATGGTAAATTTGCCGTATAAACGCTGAGTTAATTTTTTATTTGCAAATAACTAAATCACGCAAATAAGTATGGATTAGTGGTACTACTTGCAAATAAGCGCAATACGCCGCCATTCTTAAGTTTATTTTCTTTTTC